ACCAGGTGTTCTCTAAGCAGAACACAGTAATTTAAAGGTCAAATTGACCCTCTGTGACCTGTGTGATATGTAGTGCTGATGCACGTGTTCTTCTGTGCAGCTGATGTGCTTCATAAGAAGCAAGTACAGTTCAGATCTGCAGATCTGACCTACTAATATAGAAGTCCAGCTTCTCCCTGATACTCCAACGAACAGATCTGCTTTGAATCATAAAGCATCTGATAACTTGTTTTAAACCTACTGCCCTCAGGCAGAGACCATTTGAAGGTATTGTAACTCTGATTCTTCATTTTCATCAATGAAGAACTTGATGTCCTTGGACTGCTTAGTTTTACAGGGAGGAGGAAGATGACAGATGGAGAACTATTTGTTTACTCACTTAAATACCAACACATTCTTATTTTAGACCAGAAGCTGTTCAAGACAATGACTGTTGTGCATTATGACTGTCTCTGCTGTTATTTTAGCATAGGGCTTCAGTTTACTCAAAGCTTTGGACCTTCAGCTTTCTCTGCTACAAACAGAAAAGGTAGACTTTCCGTCTCAGAAAACTTCAGAAAGAGTCAAATGGCCTTTCAGTAAAGGAAGCTAAAATGGAAAGGACTGTCTCATATTCCAGCAGTGACACTAGAAGCAGTATGGGTGCCTATATTAAACCTCCACTCTTCTTTTTAGTGGAGATGTAGGCTATATAATAAAGTGTTCCACGTTTGCAGCTCCTAGGTAGATCAGTACTGCTTGTTCTCAAAGCAAGGAGTTAGGAGGCAGTGTAAAGCAATCAGAATTGTGAGTGGTTTTAGCAGGTGATACTGAAATTTGCTGCTTGCAAATACACAGAAAATATAGCATCCACTTTCTGGGGGAAAAAGGTGCAATTTATGTGGCTTTCTTCAGGCACTTCTGGACATAAATCTGCTGCTGTCTAACCTTTGGCAGCAGAAGGAAATGCTTTGAAAATGATTTAAAAGGTTTCATGCTGTTGTGACTCACCTTAATCAGTATCTGAAGATGCAGTGTGCCTCTCCTAGATTTCAAAGCTGTTTAGAACAGGAATTTAGTCTTGTTTACATGCAAATAGAATGAATATAATGAGCTGTTATACAGCTTTCCATGGATATTCACTGTTTTTGAGTGGGACAAACACAGTTACAGTCAACATTCAGTCTAAAAAAACTGTTTCTGACAGATTTGTATTGGATGATTGAGAATGCTGCCTTGGAAAGAGGTGCAGTTGTGCCCACGCCCTCCCCTCTTACAGATTTTGTGCTGTCCCTGGGTAACATTTTTGGATGAAACCTTTGTCTACTGCTCTACTGTTTTGTTGTGAACTTTGAAATATCTGTGGAATTTATTTGAAACAGTTGAGCTGGTTTAAATGTTGTTTGGATGTGGAGTAACAGGGGAAACTGAAAGGTATATTCATAAGCAAAGAGAATGCATTTTTTTTCCTAAGGAAATGAGACTAAGAGTACGTTACAAGATCTGTGGCACTATGTTAAAAAGGGAGCTGTTCTGAAATATGCCCAGTTTCCCCTGTGCATGTATTGGCAAGGTTCTTGGAGGGTGTAAATCCAGAGATCTTCAGTGGAGACAGTTGCTGCGGCACGCTTTAGAGACACTGAGGAATTCAAATGAGTGGACCCAAAGGGAGTGTTAAACCCCATTTGGGCACAGAAGGCAGGAGAAGCAAAGCCCTTCTCTGCTTTTGTACCTCACCTCCTCTTAGCAGATGTAAATGGACCTTGTGACTGTCAAGGCTGTGGGGAACCCTGAGTCTGTGATCTCAGTGTGCTCAACTGTGCTGTCCTAGCACCTGGCTCCCTTAGGACACACCAGGGCTTAGGTTTCGTGCTTGGAGTCTCTGCAAGTCTCTAAGCAGAGAGGTCACTTTGCTACACAATGGGTATTGCCAAAATCACAGCCATACCAAATGTGAAGCATGATGTCAAATGTGGAGCAGGTGGGCTGGGAGTTTGTAGGGCTGTCTTTCATCAGTGACAATGTGTGAGCTCTTTCCAAAGCGTTCACGTGTTGTCTTGACACATCCATTACTGGTGCATTAACTGAGTGTGGCTGAAAATAGACAACCTCGAAGAAAGGGCCAGATTTGTGAGGGAACCAAGAGATACACCAGGATTTTGTCAGGGGTCACATTTCAAAATTGGTTGGAGAGGACCTTATGCTTCTGATAGAGTTCAGGAAGGAGCTAAGAGTTTCAAGGATGGATATAGAACACAGTTCAAGGGAGGTCTGGGCTATGGTGCACTAGTGGCACCAGAGCGGATCTAATCTCTGCCATGATCCCACTCTCCCTACTCCATGCTCAGCTGCACATTTGTCTCTTTTTTGCATTTTTCTGGCAACTATAAGCTCTGCACTGAGCTTGTTCACAGTGCTGACCAGACAGAAAATGCGAGCTTATGTAGCAAGCTGGAAGGCACAGCAGAGACCCCAATGGAGGGAATACCTAAAGGCAGCCTATAAACAGGAGGGGAGTCAACTCTTTGAAATGGTAGATAACAGCAGGACAAGGGGAAATGGTTTTAAGTTGAAGGAGGGAAGATTTAGTTTGGATGTCAGGAGGAAGTTCTTTACAGAAAGAGTGGTGAGGTACTGGAACAGCTGCCCAGAGAGGTTGTGGATGCCCCATCCCTGAGGTGTTCAAGGCCAGATTGGATGGGGCCCTGGGCAGCCTGGTCTAGTATGAAATGGGGAGGTTGGTGGCCCTGCATGTGGCAGGGGGGTTGGAGCTTCGTGATCCTTAGTCCCTTCTAACCTGGGCTTCTGTGAATACAAGAGCAAGGAGGAATCAGGCCATAGAAATGCATTTTCCAGTACTTTGATTACATTTGACTTTCAGAGATCCAGATCCAGCACTCATCTGACAAGATACAGGGGGAGATCTGCATTATTGTGAAGGCTGATGTGTGTTGTGACTCTTGCCACTGCTATCATAGATAACCGTTTCAGCTTCATGTTGTAGCGTATGACAAATTCTCTTGTGTCAGTTGAAGACTGGAATGAGGAACTGATGCCACTTGAAAGAAAAGTACATTTTTCTGAATTAGTTTTCATGATATCTATTCACTGGTCTGTTCACTGACATGTTTGTGTGATCAATTAGACTGGATCAAGTGGCAGAGCAGTGTGCCAATGCATTTAGGTGAGAATGGGTATTAGGGGGTGTTCACTGAAGAAACAAAACAGGCAGTAATACCCAATGATTAACTGATGCTTTGCTAAATGCTGCTTAGTATCATCTCATAAAGGCAGAGCCCCTTAAAAAAAAACAGCGGTGCAGCCAAATACTAGAGATTTTTGGCAGAAGCTCCTTGCTCAGAAGCTTGATCAGACGTTTGTTGGTAATTGCAGTACTGCTCAGGACATACAGTAGGAGGCTTTTTATGTTGAAAACATCCAACTTTCTCACCATGCCTTGCTGTGTTTTAGTGTGCTTATGCTGCAGGCAACTGGAAGAAAAGGCTTGAAAGAGGAAACCTTCACAAGCACAATGCATGGAGGTCAGTGCCATCAGCACAAAATCCCCATCCCCGTGACAGGTACCTTTGCAGCTCTGGATGCTTGAAGCTACACCACACCAAGTGCATGAGCTACAACTTTTGAAGCAGTGCATCTGTCTTTATTGAGGGGCTGATCCTTCTCTGAGATGTAATGCACTTAGAGCACACAGCTCCCTTCTGCAATGTACTGTTCTGCATCCTAATAGCATTTCAGCTTCTGACTCTACTCTCTTTCTTCTTACAATTTTGCTGTTGTAAAAGCCTCAACTTCCTCCTCTTTTCCAGCTAATGCATTTGTCTAAGTTTATTAATGGACAGTTTATCTCCTTTTGTTCTTCCATGTATTTTGATAGCTAAAACAAAAAACTCTTACCCTTTCCTGGCTGTACCTTCTGGCTCCCAGACAGCAGTTTCTTGCAGCTAGCCTCTGTGGATGAGATGCTTGGTACCATTTAATCAGATTACATGAACTTGGGCAGCCTACAGTCCTACAGAGTTGTTTGCCCTGTTGTATACAATGGCAGAGTATGATGTTGAACCTTGTCTGCTAACTACTGAGTCCTGGCCTGAACCACTGATGGAGCACCTGGGGAAAGGAGTGGCCAGCCACGGGAGCACAGGTGAAGGCAATTCAGCTGTGTGACTGCAAGGGGTGGAGCCTGGCTGCACCTCTCTTAGATCTCATTTGAGGGCTGACTGCCACTGGGGAAGTATCTCTGGTTGGAGATCCCTCTGTTATGGGGTTTTCCCTGTGAGCCTCAATCTTCAGGGATGGGTGAGCACTTTTCCTTTGTCATGTCTTTCCATTTGCACCAGTGCCTTTGTTATTACACCTCCTGTACCACCATTCCATTGCACTGATCTAATTGTTATGAGCCAACTGTTTTCTTGTTGCATGCAATCATTATTAGTTACTGTAATACATATGATCATTATTGGTGCTTATTAGGGTGCCAAATTTGTATAGAGACATATGCCCCATTCTGATCTTTCTGATCTTCTGGCCTTCCTCTTGGTTTCCCACAGACCAAAGAATACTGCGAGAGAGAAACAAAATTCTCTTGTGAGATTAAAAAGAGAGATGGGAGACCCTGGATAGTATCTGAGTTTCTTTGAAGTGAATGCTGCATAGATCAGGGAAAGTCTAATTGAACTAAAGGCACTCTTTTTTGAAGTAGATATACTTTTACCCTGGCTCAGCAATTTCCTGGTTGAGGTTTTTTATCGCTTTCCAGCACCTGCTTGCTTCAGAGGGCGACACTTCAGGGATTACACTGAGGAAGTGCCAAGAGCCAGCATTTCTCACTCCCCTCTTGCCCGCCTCCGCCCCCTGCACTGCTGCATGCACACACACACCCCAATATAGAATGACAGCATGCTGCCACAGTTTAAATGACACCGCCTCTGCCTCTTCAGAAGGACAGGTCCTTCGGAGAGCAGCAGCCACAACAGCTGCCTACCCTTGCGAAAAACATCATCATGGCATATAAAGCAGCACATCTGGCTTTTAAGTCACGCTGGCACAAGACAGACGAAGAACTCTGTCGCCACAGCATGTCATTTGACTTACATAAGGCAATCCAGAATGACTTCTTTCAGTGTTACCTTTATCTGCTGGAAACTCTTCCCCTGGGTGAGTAACTGGTGGGCAGGAATGTTTGAGTGTGTGTTACCATGCTCTGGAGGGACGTGTTATATTAGATAGCTGGGTGCAGCATTCGTGACAATAAATAGTGGCCTTGAGAAGCCCTGCTCGAGAGATTACAGTCTAGCTAATCCATTTGTTACTCTCTCAGCTCCCTCTAATTCAGTATCCTGTTTTATTTTTCTACCTAAATACTCCATAGATTGGTGGGGGAAGGAAGGGCATGGGAAAGACCTCAGGAGCTTAAGGAAGTTTGATTTTGGGGTGATGATACTTTCACCTTTAAATAAAACATGAATTGACCTACTCGGAACACTTGGAAGGACAAATTGGAAAGTTGTGGAGCTGTCAGGCCTTACTTTCTGTTGTCTGATACTCGTCCTCAGCTTTGTATTATGCACTGCTGTGGACAAATGCTTGAAAAGTAATCATTTTTATTTTCTATCAAAAGTCCCTGTAATCCAGATTGTGCAGCAGGCTGTCCAGACCAGTGTTTGTTATCTGGGAGGAAAGTGCTTCCAAAATATTTTTTTAATAGCCAAACATGTGTGAAAGATACAGGATGCCAAAATATTTTATGTGCAGAAAAGGCATGTTACTTTCTCTTGAAAATCTCACCCTAAGAACCAGTTTTTTTTTCCCAGGACAGGATACCTGGAAAGTGCATTTTACTTGGATCTTTGTTACTTTTTAAGCAGAATTATTCAGCTTCTACTCAGTGTTAGAACTGTAGGAATTTAAGAAGGCTGTGTCTGTCTAAACTGTGCTTCCTGAGGGCTCCTTCCTGATTGAAAGATCCACATGGGTAGGTGGATTATCTTACCTGATTCTGTGAGATTGTACAGACACCAGTGAGTATCCTGCTCGGGATACTAGAATTCATGGTAGAGAGAAAAAGTATTTCCATGTTTTCTTAGTATTTTGATGTGGCTTTTCACATGTGGTGATATCTGCAGCTATCTAAAATGAAACATGCAAGGTAAATACTCCCTGTCCCTAGTGGTAGGTAGCTAGGAATGGTGGAAAGAAAGGAAAAATGGAAAGGAAGGGAAGTTAATTATAGGTCAATGTAATCTCAAGAAGTCGATGACAATGTTATTCTTTCATTTATTTTGAAAATAAACACAACATATTAGAAACTGAGCAGGATTTCCTACAATGTGAATGTTAGTGTAAGTACTGGTGGCTAGAAGGTAGTGTTACGAATATCTAGCTTAAAATTTCACATGAAAGTTTCTAGATCGTGCCTGTAATTTATGACTGAGTCACAGTATGTATTTGTGAAGACAAAAATAACTTGGCTTAAAGTCTGCAAATGACTGAGAACTCATCAGTATGTAATTAAGCTGTTTCCAGGTCTAATTGCTTCACTCTCTTAAAACCGTATTCTATTTCTCGTCTGAATTTTATTTGAATTTCCATTCTCAGCCAGCAAGCTCTCTAAAATGTTTACCTGTCAGACTGAAGTGTTCCTCTGCCAGATTTTCAGTGCTCTGAGTTATTATTACAACTTTCAAGTTTTCCATTTTGTTGCCAGTGCATCCAAATCAGTAGGACCCCAAGGAAAAAGTGCTGTGAGTCCGGCCTACATGTGAACATGCAGTTTATCCATTATGCATGGTATCTGTCATGGAGTAAAAGGGTGCATAAGGACGGGCACTGAGAGGTAGCTCATGTGCTGTGGAGACACATCTGAGAATCTTCTCAGAGTGTATGTCATGGTGTGGATGGGTTGGCAACCAGGTGGGTAACAACAGTTGGGTCACTTGGCTTAGAAAGTCAGGGTTAATGTGTCGTACTTGGTCTTGAGATCAGTGGTGTTCACAGGCAGCTGTCCTGTTTAACATCTTTATCAGTGATCTGAAGAGCCAAGCTCTTCACTATGGCATCTTCACAGATGGCAAGAGACAGTGGATATAAATTCAAATTGGAGATGTTCAGAGTGACTGTAAGGAAAAACTTTGTTTGTGGCTTGTCAGGGCATTGGAAAAGGTTGCCTGGGTAGGCTGTTCTGCATTGCTGCAGGCTTTCAGAACTCACTTGAATGAAGCTCAGAGGAACCTCATTTCTGTCCCTGTTGTGAGCAGTTCGAACCAGCAACCTACTTAGCTGCCTTCCAATCTGGACTACTCTCTGATGTGGAGCTGAGCAAATGTGGCAAGTCCAAACATGTCTCCAGAATGGCATTTTCAAGTTCAGTTCAGAGTGGAACTGAGCAGAAATTAACTGTATTTCAAGATGAGATGCAGAGACCTCTTACACAGAATTAACAGTGTTAAACCACTAAAACAACACTAAGGCTGTGACCTAGCAGAGCACTTCACAGGATACTTAACCCTAAGTGTGATTAACACGGAAACTGGGCCTCACACTGAAACTTTTGCTGCAGTCCAGGATCAGCAAGGGACAGCATTTTCTTCAAGCTATGCTAACTTCACAATCCTCTCACCCTCCTTTCCTAGGTTTAGTGGTGGGAGCACTTAGGAAGGTTTCCCTATGAGCTGAGCGTATTTGGTATCATGGCCTAAGAGAATCATGTAATTTTTACAGGCTGGGGTGACATAAATAAAAGGCATTTGATTTAGGCCCAGATTCAACAGTGTACTCGAATGTGTATGAATGCCTCTAAGCCCAGTAGACTTTAACAGAGCTACTCAGATACTGGAAATTATGCATGTGGTTCCAGGGGCTGAGGGACTTGATGCCAGGAGGGTGAGATCTGCGGTGGAAGACTCAAATGATTGGTCCAAAGAGCCAAATATTTCAATATGTGAGGCATATGTCTGTAAATGAAGCCTGCTTTAGGGGTGTGCTGATGTTCAGCCTCTATAAAGCAGTTCTCAGGCCATAGCAGAGAGGTGAATCTTCTCTGCACCCAGATAACCATTTTTCAACTGGAGCGCAAAGCAGATGTTGCATTTAAAAGGGATGCTTAGCCAAAATGGAATTAGTTCAATATCTCGCAGAAAGCAGTTGGAGCCACAAAACAATGTTCACAAATAAAAACTTCAAAAAAATTATTTGCAACATTTATTTCTGCTGGGCAGATTTAGCTCAGCAAGCTGGGCAACTGTAAAATAGTCTGCTGCAGGTTGGGGCTGTGACTGATCCAATGTATTAAAGGATCCCGTTGACCTAGGGATTTAGATCAGATACAGCAAAACAAAATTTTGAGCTGATCCTTTAAAAAAAAAAAAATCTTGGACTCTGGGGGGAAGACAGGCCTAGATGAATGTTCTGTGTCTAGTCTAGGGGATGGCATTTGGCTCTTTTTTGGCATTCAGACTGTTTGCTGCGACTGAATACTGCTAACACCTCCTGACTGGAGGTGACCTTTAGGGAGGCAGTGTCTGCTCAGTCTGCTTTGCCAGTGGGCTCACTTTAGCCTTTGCTGCTTGGGGGTCTTGCCAAGCAGGTTCACCATGACAGAAGGCTTCTGCTTGCTTTCCTTGAAACACATTTCTAACCTGAAATATTACAGGTCACCTAACTTAACACTGAAAATCTTGTCTGTGAAAGCTGCCCCCCAGTCTCTGCGAGACTTACAGCTCCATTATCCTGTCTTGTCTATGCCCTACTTCGCAAAATACATTGAAATCAGGCTGTGTATCAGTAACAGACCTCACAAGCATTTAATTTCCTGATGCAGGAGATAGTCCCACATGGATCATGGATTGGGAAGATGCCTCTGGCTAGACAGGTCCTGTGATGAGGGGCAGGCACGCCAGAGAAGAGCTGCAACACTAACTGCCACCAAGGACGTGTGATTCCTCACACTTCTCTTTTGCGGTAGATTCCTGCAAGCTGGCAAACCTCCTGCTCCCTCTGGTCCTGCTGCTGGAGCCTGCATGCCAGGCACAGCTGCAAGGCAGATCAGAGGTGAGCTTGATTGGTTGTGTCTGGAAAATTGGGTTGTGGGTTGGGAGAGTTGGCAGTGTTGCAAATTCAGGAGAGGGAGGAGAAATACTTGAGGAAGCAAGAGGTGGAAATGATGTACTGCGTGCCTAAGACTGTCACTGTGACAGGCTTTGGGTACAGTACCTGTGTCCTTGCATGCCCTCAGGTGAGGCACTTGCACAAAAAGATCTTTGCATGGTTTGGGGTACAGAAAATGCTCAAGTGTTCAGAGTAGAGCTGGTTTCAAATGCCAGCATGTTAGGCGGGGCTGTGGGGCCCCAGCTGGCCAGGGAGGAGCCGAAGTCAGCTGGTGTGTGCATGCAAATCCCTGCAGGCATCCTGTGAGTCTGATCCAGGTTCTGAGTGAGAAATCTGAGAGCACATGCCACAGATCTGATATCCTGAACAACAGCATATCGTCTCCATGTGTTGCCTTGGGTTCAGCTCATGCATTCAGTAGATGGACCCTAAATATTTGTTGTTTGTGCTGTCAGCTGCCTGCAACACCATGTCCTAGTGCAAAGACATCCTGTAAGAGCCTTTCTTTTCAATCAGGTAGAACAGAATAAATCTCTGTCCCCTGGTAGTTCCATTAAAAAAAACCCTAGAAATGGTTGCTGGGCTTTCATAAAGACGAGCTTGTAAAGCAAGCATCCAGAGGTTCAGTTCTGTTCACCAGACTGGCATCTGAAACGGAGAAAAGAAACCAGGAGAAAATAAGCTAGTGCCACTCCCAGGGGAGGATGGAGATAATTTACTAGAAGAATCTCCACTGCCACTGGAGTCTTTATTTCTCAGGCTCTGGGAGCCTCCCTGGCCAAGTTGCACAGTGGATTGGCTGCTGCCTCCTTCATATTAATTTCTTCAACTAAATGGTTTCTTCTGAGTATGTGAATATAATCAGTGGAGTGTGTAAAACTCCCAGGTTTTGACCCTTGCTGGGCTCAGTGCTTCTTGTGGTATAAATTTCTCAGGCATAACATAAATGTGTAATGGATTAAAGCTTTAATAGTATCCGTTCAGCAGTTGACTTAAGCAGGTGATGACAAGAGGGGCTGGTAATGCTGCTTTTGTTGGATGAAGGATATGCCGGGCATGCTGCTGGTGTGTAACCCAATAGCACTATTCTGTTCCGAGTGGTCCTTGGTGGTAATTATTCTCCATCCTACTTCCTTTGTCCCCCCTCATTTGCTGCTGAAATGTCATTCTCCTGCTGAGGATGGGCAGGCGTATACTTATCATTCCCTGCTGAGCTTGCTTGCCTTCCATAAATACATTCCAGGCTTATGTTCAGTTCTCTGGCCTAACTCTCATCCTGCGCATGGAGGGCGTAATTCCTTTTCTGCAGGCAGGATGAGCCAGGCATGGCATTGTTTGACCCTTGCCAGCAGTGCTCCTGGGGAAGTTTGGAAGCTGAAAGATGCAGCCCACATAAGGTAGATACTGAACAGCAACTGGGCACTGCCCTCTGTCTGCACAGCCTGCAGGGACATCTCCCTTTCCTCTGTTAACCAGAAAGCCATTTGCTGCTTGCTCATTTCCAATTCCTTGAGCCATGCTGCACATCTGCAGTGGAGGTGGTCTCACAATGCAAAGTTGTGCTTGCAGACTCATCCCCAGTGTGACTCCATCCCTCCTTACTGCTTAGCTTTCACACACAGGCTTGTAGTTGCTTTTTTGTTGGAAGGCCTGTCTGGGAATAACTGTACACGTGGGGAAGCACCTTGTATGCTTGCATGTGCATGAGACTGCAGGATAGCTTGTTTCCAAACAGTTTCTAGTCTGCCCTAATTTGAACTTTTGAGATATAACACAGAACTACTTTTGATATGCCAATGCATTTCAAGTATGGAAAAACTTAGATGCAGGCAGAGCATAGATTTCAGTTCTTCAAAGAATGGGGAAAAATTATCTTAAACCATACAAAACAGGTTCTGATTGAATTGAATGGCCTCAGACTTACGATTGCTATGTATTACCAGCAAATAGCAGAGCAATGACAGGAAAGACCCAACCCCTTGGCACACAGGAGCTTTCCAGTGTAACACCCACTGATTATCTTGACCTGTGACAGAAGAAAATTTAGGACTCCGTTTCTAAATGGTCTCCCTGCTGTATATTCATTTAGGCCTGAGACTGCCATCTGCTCCTTGGTTCGGCTTACAGTGCCCCAGACTTCCCAGTGTCACTAAAAATAAACCAAAGCAAGTGCCTCATTCATTCAGACTCTTCTTGGTGCACTCTCTGTGCAGCTGTTGATGGCTAGAAAGTATATATGGCAATCTGCAGGCTGTGAGGAGCTGTTAGGTTCACGACAGCGGAAGTGGTGACTGCAAACAGCAATAAACACTGCCCACAGCTTTTCTGGGGGTAAACTAATCCCACTGCTCTCTTTGGTATTAATGTTCATCTTCAAACCTGGAATGATTTTTCACTGATGTGAAAGCATACTGTGTAATGACAAATGAGTTCTGAGTGTGGCAGGCACAGAATATACTCAAGGGGTGCTGTGTCCCTTCAGAGCCTTGCAGGATTAAATCCAACACCTTTCCTTCCACCTCAGGTTTGGAAACAGAGGTTTGTTCATTTGGAGGCTCGGCTTAGATTCATAGATTTTCATCACCGTGCCTCCAGAACAAGTAACTAACCCAGAAATGTGTCATTAACAATAAAATAATGATTTATCTGCTTGCAGTGAAACTTTACGCTTTAACAAGTCAAGTTATCAATGGGGAGATGCAGTTCTACGCCAGGGCCAAACACTTCTACCAGGAGGTACCAGCCACAGAAGAGGGCATGATGGGAGACTACATTGAGCTCTCCAATATAGACATTGAATCCTCCAGGGAGTTTCTCAGGAAGTTTGTTGGGGTGAGTCATTTAATCGCATCTTCTGCAAGACACAGTAATGATGTGTCATAAATGACATGCAGCATGCCCAGACACATTGATTTTAAATGGCACCATGTATCATATTTTGTATGCATGAAGCTCATGTTGTAATTGACTGTGATGGGGCCCAGGAACATACTATTTACATGCATTCTGCCAGGTCATGCATCACCATGAGTACGCATTTTGCTTGGCTGTATCTTGTTGTTTACCTGTTTTGCATCCTTTTCTTATACTCTGAAGCTGCAAAGAGGACTGTGCAAGAATAGCACAAACTTTGGTTGGGTGGGAGATCAATTCTCAGTGTAGTGCTGAGACTTTTCATTATAAAATCCTTGCTAGCTTCATTGGGAGATATTTCTGTGCAAATTCCTGCATTCTATTTGGGAAAGTGACTGAGACAAGATGCCAAGGTTCTGTTTTGTCTATTTATAGGTATCTTTTTTTCTGAGAATGCTGCAAGAAAATACAATCCTCCTTCCCCTCTGTTAGCAATATGTAGAATAAGCTATCTGTTAGTAAAAATATGATTTCCTGATTGCTGCAGTATTATTGTTGACTTTTGAAGGCAGATCTTTAAAGGTCTGTAAGAATCTTCAAAGATTTGCTTTGACTTGAGATGTAAAGTGGGATTTTAGCAGCAATTAAAATAGCAGTTTCTCTTTGGCATTTGGGTTTTTGGAGTGTCTTGTTAGGAATCTTTTTTTTTTTTTTAAAAGTTTGGCCCAAAGGTTTTCCAACTGTCTCTTTCCCTTCCTGGGGATAAGAAGCCTGCTGAATTAGCTCAACAACTATATTAGATGCTAAAGAACCCACAAAGTTACAGGGAACTGAATTTCATAAATTTTCCTACTCACAAAATTACAAGTTCTACGCGATGCTACCATAAAACTTTCATTTTCTACTCAAATGTACAAATTTTGCTTAACTAGATGACTTTTTTTTAGCCTTAATGACCTATTGTGGAAAAAAAAGCTCAATAAGTTAATGAGATGTTGTGTATAAAAAAAGGGCACAGTTAAAATGGATTTGGATGAAAAATAAGTGTGGTTTAACAACAGATAGAAATCCTGTCTAGCAGTGAAGAACAACTGATGGCAAAGTTCACTGTGTATGGCAGACTCTTGGCACAGTATGCCAACAAAACACAGTTACCTAAGTGATCAGCTACTTTATTTCTATTCACAGTCTTTTGTACTGATGTCTTCACAGCATTTTAAGGCCTTGCTGTGTCTGTAAGAGTTTTGTAAAGCAGCTTCACAGCATCTCAAGGCCTCATTGTATTTGGTTTCTCACAAAATAAGAAAAGGAAACTAAGAAGATGAACAACAGTAAAGTGGTGCTTTCAGTAAAAATGAAACATAACTTGTAAACTTCGAGCCAGCTCCAGGCATGTCCCTTAAATTTTACGTCTTTTTTTAAGGATATTTGGAATTCACATGGTGGACAAGCCTGTCTTCAGGGAAAGATTTCATGCTTCCTAGACATCATACAGATTCAGTTTCCTGAACAGCGAGTTTATATCACACTGTTAAGCTTTCTCATCTCCAAGACCTGAAAAGGAAAGAAGTACAGTCTGTAGCAGAGTTTCATGTGCCAAAGAGAAATCATACCCAATGCATCAGGTGTGATGACAGATACAAAAGACTCCAGAGCAGAGCTTCTACTCCTATTATTAGCCAGGGGTAGAAAGGATATTCTGAATGGCCAAGATTAAATAAGGAAAAAAAAAAATAAAAGAAAGGAATCTGCATGTTTTGCTAATTCTGATTTAGTTTATTACAGCCTGTAATCTCTCAAGATACAATCAATTAGTTGTTTTACTTATGGTTTATTTTCCTTCCTTACTATTGCAACTTGAATCCTACTTGAGCAGATAAAGATATTTACAGGCTTTCTGTAGTAGTGACCTTACTGTATAGCTAATCTGAGCCATGTCTTCCTTTTGTTATACCCAGTTTGTCTCTGAATATTTTTTTTTACCAATAAGCCAATCAAAGTAGAAGAAAATAATTTGTTGACCCAAACATAAGCTATGCTTTTTTAAAAAGTTTAACAAAACCAGAAAAGGAAATTAGTCTCAGATCCACTGTGCATATTTAATTTAGGTTTTTGATTGTTTTGCCCTCTCATTTTTTTTCCTGTTGTTCTTATTATATGTCGGTTCCAAAATGAAAAATGCAGTTTAGAAATGAAAAGCTAACAAGTCATTTTTTTTTTTTTTTTTTTCCTTGAATGCAGTAAAAAAGAAATATTTTAACATTTTCAACATTCTTTCCCATGTTTCCTGGCTAAAACTGTTCTCTAGATTTGAGGTATCGATATCACAATTTTTCTTTTTCCAAAACTTTTTTTTTTTTTCTGGCAGAACTAGTGCTCCTTAAAAAACAGTTGCCCAGTTCCACTCAAATTACCCTTCAGTTAGTTTGGCTGGTGTGGAAATGCCACACAGTGACATTTCCCTTCCATGACTGATGTTGCATACCTTCGTGTATGGCATTTCTTAACATGTTTTTTAGCACCACTGTAAACTGAGCTACAGATTTCCTTACCATGGTAGAATTTATCTTGCCTGGATGCATGGAAGGAATTACAAAAAAAAAAAGTAGAAAACTGAGGACTTCACTTATATTTTAGCCTGTCTCCTGCCCAGGCGAGTCAAACTGAGTTAAAAGTGCCACTGTGCTCAAGTTAAGAGGTTTTATGTGTGTGTGGGCAGAACTCAAACCAAGAGCAACATTTGAGTTAGAAC